ATGGTTTCTGGTAAGGGACTTCTCCTCAATCTCATCCCTTAGACAGCTAGCACGGTTAAATTCGCAGCAGCTTGCTCTAGAGTTGGTCTGTACATACACGCACTTCGTTGGGAAATCGACCTGCATGTAGAGCAATTAATGAATTAAGAAAAGAAAGAAAAAACTTCGTTGGGAAATTATGACTTTCTCTTCTTTTCTGAATAACAATAGCCTTAGAGCCGGTCAGGTTCAGTGCTAACCGCCAAACGGTGCTAGTATTGGCTCAGAGATGCGGGCTGCGAGTTTGGCCATGTCATCCGTCTGGAGGAAGGCAATCTGTAGGGGGCTCCAATACTGCGCCAGTGCTCCCATGAGTAGAATTTAGAGCTGCCTTTGCCTGCGAAAGGGGGGCAAAATAAGCCGACGAGATTACGGCCCATCCCCATCAAATTGTCCTGGGTAATGAAGACGAGAGATGAATATACACCATCTAATATTGATTAAAGTTTCGTATTCCTCTTCAAGAGAATAACACGGGACCGATGAAGGTGTGCATACGGGAAGGTCTGGTGTGCTGGATTCAACATAGCTCGGATCACAGTGCTGTCCCTCCCAAACCGGCTCGGCATGCGCAAGGTTGGTTGCTGGGGGAGAGAAATTAGGTGACGCCGCCACACCAGAGTATATATGAAGACGGGAGATACGCAGTGGGGCATCAGGTTCCGGCAGGGGATGTTTCGGCATGTCGTATAAGCCGCTGAATTGATCATCGTTTGGATGTCCACCAGGAAGAGCACCGCGAGGAGAAATATCGGTGTGATAAATATGCACAGAAGCATCTGGTTCTGGGGGGCGAGTATCGTGGTCATCTAAGCCACCAAATTGGTCGTCTGAGAACCGATCAGCACCCTGGGTTGACGGTCTCACCAGCCGATCAGGAGTCTCCATTGTGTCCAAGGCGACATACAACCTCCTCTCCAACTTCATGACTCTATTTGCCGCAACCACTGTGACGAAAACTTCATGTTAGTCCCCAGCTTGGGTCTTGTATCATTGATTATTCGGACCTATAATGACTAACAAATGTTAGTGGCCTTCACTCATGCTTTCGCTATGGAAATGAATTGCTCATTGCCTGCCGATACCAAAACTGCTCCTCTAACTTTTAAACACAGAAGGACTTCAATCGACACTACAAGTCCCGCCATGTACGGGAGATCGCTGGAAACAAAATGCTGACGACTACCCGGTGGTGGGGTGCCCAAGAGTTTGTGCTGGGGGGTTCACTAGGAACGATAATTTTCTGCAACATAGGAAGCTAAAGGACGCACGCAAAGTAAAGAAATTACCGCGGAAGGAGTTGGCGGACGCTGGAAATTCTGGTGGGAAATGGTAAGCGGATGATGTTTGTATTGTGGTGTATGCGAATTTTGGCCATCCGGAATAGCGGGGTGCGACTGTATGCTCGAGTTCATGACATGGTCCGTACCAACCCCGAATCGGTAAATGGCTAAACATGGGGGTTACTTCAACCAACCGACGAGTGCTTGAGGTTCGAGGTAGGTATGTGGGTTGGGGGCCTGACCATTGTGATTGAAATCTAATCTAATCTAATCAGAGCACATGACCTGGTAATGGCTACGACCGCGAGGGAGGTGATATATCTTACTGAAAGAGTACTGTTTATTCCTCCACGTCCATGGCCACGGTGGTGGAAGTTTACTGTTGACATGATCTTTTTCGGTGATGGTAAACCTCCACAATGACATGACCGTGGAGGAACACACAGTGAATCCTGAGCCAAGACTATCTCACCACCATCATAAATCTCCAGTGTATAATCTACGAGTGATGGTTCGTGAAAGTACTTATTCCTGATCGAAATTAACTAGCGGGTAACGGGGTCGTGACGAGGTTTCTCAATAGCTTTTGCTTCGTATGCTGCCTCTTTTCGACGGTATATATATCTCACCCAATTTCCAGGCTAGAGCACTCTGAATGATAAACAGCCCGGCAAGTACTACAACGGATGAATTTGTGCTCACCAGAAGGGCCTCCTGTTGGTAGATAAGCGATCGATAAGTGCCCTCGCACAGTGCCTGGGACAAAGGAATACAAGTACAGGGATGTAGTACTGCATGTACCCGCTGCCATAGAATGGGGGACGCCCTTGGGTGCTACGTTGCACGGGGCAGATGACCCCCCCGTGGGCGTTCGTCGCTTGCATTCTTCAATTGTGCAGAGTTACACACGTCTCCATTGAATATTTCTGTTTGTGCTCTGGATATCGTATATACGAACGCTTTCCCCTCAACAACCTCCATTCCTGCTCTCCATCTTGAAACCATCCACCACATCTTCTTTGTACCAAACAAAGAATCAAACCATCTATATACACATCGCCACACCTCTGAATTCGATAGTTTCCTGTATTTCCACACTCACTCATAGTCAACTTCACATCTGCACCCAGACCCACAAACATGGCCAACGATCTCCCCTGGTACATCAATCTCCCCCTGTTTATCCTCTTCCAGCTTCCCAACTACATCGGCATCGGCGTCTGGCAGCACTTCTACACCAAGACCACCATCTACCCCGCATGGAGCCCTGCCCGCTCCACAAACACACGCACCGACATGCGCGGCGAGTTCGCCGGCATCCTCATCTTCAGTGCCCTCTCCGGCCTGAGCCATCTCTACGCCTGCGTCAAGATCCTGCTCTTCCCGCTCATCATCGCGTTCGACGAGAACGAGCTTCCCGGCACTCGCTCGCCCAGACGGAGGTCCACATTCGTCTTTATCCTGTACCTCGTTGGCATCGTGGCGCTCACGCTCTTCTCATCAAGCGTCATGTTTGTGGCCCCGTTCGTCACCCCCGAGTGGAGCTGGAAGAGCACATACAAGAACGCCTGCCAGGGCATGGACCTCTGGGTCCACCTCGACACCCCCGGCGTGCGCCAGGCCAACGAAGTAACATTCGAGGACCGCCTCGCGGGCACAAACTTCAGCATGGTGATGATCCCGGACCCTGTCGCGGCGGGCTACGACGCCAAGGGCCTCTACAGCTTCAATGTCACCAGCACTGGCGCTGGAGCACCAGAGTGGTCGCGGGTCGAGTACAACGTTGAGTTTGGCTGGTACACCATCTATACGCGCAATAACAGCATTGTCTCCCATGGGCTGTTTGAGACGGGGAAGCAGTTTCGTCTTCCGGAGATGCATTTGGTGGGGGATTTGGGGCTGTTTGAGAGTCGCTGTGTGTTTGATCCGACTGTGCAGATCCGGGATGCGCGCGAGAGGGAGGGGGAGCTGTTGGTGAAGACGGCGCAGTTTAGGATCTGTGGGGGCCTGGTGGTGTGTGCGAAGGAGAGTGTGGGGAAGGAGTTGGCGGTTCCGGTGGGGCTGTTGATGTTGGGGAGGGCGAAGAGGGGCGGGGGGTGCTGCAAGTCGAAATATAGGGTGCCTGGCGTGGAGGGGAGAGATTATCAGTAGTAGGGTGGGATGTAGATATTTTTAGCTTTTGCTCCTTCTCTTGCTCTTCTTGGGGCTTTCTTATCGGTACACTATTAATGTAATGCTTCAAATTGGGATCATGGGATTAGTGCTAGTTAAAGTACAATGCTGTGTAGTCTATAAACGTCCATTATCTGTGCAAGCAAGAATCCAATCGCTAATAACCTCTCTGATACCATCTTAAGCCTGCCTTTATCATATTTTACTTCTTTATCAGATTCCCACCCCACTATACATAAGGGTGGCACCACCACGATGACGAGCTATTGCTTCTGGTGTTTCCAAATACAATAGTAAACTCATAGAAGCGAGTCTATACTATAGTGTTAGTGGTAATATAATATTCTATTGTAGTGCCGTGGTTAGCCGATCAAAGTAATAGCTGCCATAGCGGCTGCATACAATTAATCGATCAACCAAAGAATGTATAATCACCTAATATCACTCGCTCATCGTGGCTTATGTAAGCCGTTGGCAAAGCGGTGGTTGCCAAGATGTGGGTTGGGCACGTAAGTAGCTAGTGGAATTTATGTAAATAAATAGCGGTAAATTGGGGGCTAGATGTCATTTGGTAGTTGATATTACATGAGGTGCGGACCAGTTGTGGGTACGATAGTTTAGTGAGTGGGGTTCATGGGGTGTCACTCGCGCGTGTACCTATAGCTATAGGGGGAGGGGGGGGGGGGAGGGTGGCGGCTATGAAGTGACTGGCTCGAGGAGGGGTATTGTTGTGAAGTTGAACCTTGTGGTACTTGGTGCTGGGAGGAGTTCTGTTAAGGGAATTTCTGTTGGAGCACTTAATCTTTTGTGTTGAACTGTCGGGTCTGGCCCCGGCTTTTTCTTCAGGTTGTAGAGTTTGGCGGTTAGTGTCTGGAGATTGAACATCTTCTCATCTGTTGCTCTGCCTTTGCACCTTGGGGCTCTGTTTGTGGAGTCCAGGTGAGTCACGTCGGTTTTAGATAAACACCCCGACTGCGTTCAGCGGGTGTCGAACGTGCGGGGCAGATTTGTTCGTCTCTATCTTTGCAGGGCCTCACCTTTACATGCGGGGAAGGAAGGGCTCTATTCCGGTGGCAGGTATCGAGAGATGTACGCTGGAGTCATTCTTGTTTCTAGGGTTGGTACGATCTGGTACCTGTCAGTTTATTCTCCACGCCACGGGGTATAGTGGGGTACCGTCGAAATAATGGTAAAATGGGCGGTCGTGTAGATGGTGTTCTAGAAGCTGAGCGCTCGAGATGAAATCTGGGTTGGAGGGGTGATTATGGGGGGTTTGCAAGGGGAAAGGACATAAATGGATCATGCATCGAGGGGATAATGGTAGATGCGAGACAGGGCGACACGAGGCTTGAGAGAGTCTCCCCTCGTCTGAATCAGGGAAACTCGAGGCAATAGACTACATGTACTTGCCAAGGCAGTAAGTAAACCCTAGAGATTAGATTAGATGCTCGCCACGCGTACACTTGGCCCCATCTTTATGATCCCCCCCAGTACCTCTTCCTCTAAGCTTTGTTAGCATAGTGGTCTATGCACTGGAAAGGAAACTGAGTACGACAGCCAGTATAGAGGGTTCAATTCCCTGGCGAAGCAAATTTCAATCTTTTTTCTTTTCTTTTACCCAAATTCTATTTCCCTTTGGAGATTAAAGATCTTCTTTTTTCTTTTTTCTTCTTCGAGTATGTTCAGGTGGGGGGAAAAGGGTCGAAAAAGATCAGCTTGTCCGCCCATACAGGTCTCATTCTGTCCCGCTAAAAGTCTCGAGACTTACTCTTGGGGCCGTTGGTCCGTGTTCCTCCGCGAGGGGGGCTAATGAGGGGAGAAAGCTTTGGGTTACTCGGGAGCTGGGCTGGATTTGGTGGGGGACTCTGGATGTATCAACCGTGTCCATGTGCAATCCTGCCGCGTTGTGGTCACAGGATACCGAGCTTGTCGGCAGCTACATGTATAGCTCCATGGGACAACGTCCAAAACACATCAAAACATCGACTTTTTGCAGCTCTGCCCTTCCACCACCACCTATAGATAGACTTTGAAATTAATTGTGTTGGCTCTGGAGCGTCTATATTTCTTATCTTTGGAATTTGAGTCAAAAATTTTGAGTGGTGTGTGCTGGGGGTTTAGCAAAACTTCCGCTTCGTCAACCCATACACGAGATTATTTACTACTAACACACCAAGGATTTATTTCCGAATATAAGTACTGATATAGAATCTCCTAGAAATCTTCCGGCCATTGACATATTATCATGCATCAAGTAGTTTTGTTGAAATATATGGAAACCTTTTTGTTGTTTGGTTGTTGTCCTAGCACTTTTGAACAAGAACTATACTTGTATGCATGCACACACTCTCTCTCTAAATCACGGCCTTTCAGGACTGGCGAATGGCTCTTTTCTTTGCAACCTGGTGAGTTCTGACCCGGTCGTATAATAATTAATTCGCTGATAGCTGACTGTCCTGATCGCAGCAATAACACTTCCATCACGGTGGGAACGCGGGCACACACTCACAATACAAGTGTCTACGTATATTAACTATCAAGACTACCTGAGTGTACATATGATAAAGAATATAAACAACATCCCTCAGAGAACCCCCTTACCATCCCACCCTGCGTCTCTTCCTGCCACTCCTGGGATCACACTTCCCTTGCAACACCTACTTGGCCGTGCCTTCCTCATCAATATCAACAATCCAGCCACCACCTGCACCTTGTCCCATTCATCTCTCTGCGCACACAGCTGCAGCTGTCCACAGATGGTAAACTGCACCGTCCTCATCACCACATCCTCCTTCGCCTTCCCCCTCACCTCCACCGTCGGGTCAAAAACACACCTCCTCGAGAACGGCCCCGCATCGCCCTCCAGCCCCATCTTCTCGATCCCAAAATTATCACCGACCCCAAATGTACTCTCCATTACTACCTCCCCAGCCTCATCAAACGCCTGCAGACGCTGACCTTTCACATCGTACAGCACGCTGCCAAACCTCGGCACAAATCCTCCATGCCCGTCCCGCGCCGACACCACCGAGAAATTACTCCACCTCTCACCCGTCCCTTCCACCACCACTTCCTCCTCCTCCTCCATAACCATCCGATAACTGCCCAAGCTCCGCAGATCTCCAAACAACACGCTCCTCGCCGGCCGCGAGTCCGCCGCATCCAGAAACACCCTCACGTCCAGCCCGCCGTCGCACGCGCCCGCATAGCGCCTCTCCCACGCCACCCCCGGCGTCACAAACGGGCTCACAAACTGCACAAACGTCAGCAGCAGCGCCACCGCCGTCGCGGCCAGCACCGACAGCGTCGTGAAGCTGCGCCAGAGGCACTTTGTGAGCGTGGGGCGCAGCGGCGAGCGCAGGTCAATGTACTCACGCAGGTGGCCTAGGCCGATGAGGGTCCAGCGAAGAAAGTGCGAGGCGAGGATGCCGTTGAAGACGCTGATGAGCAGGGCCAGCGTCACGAGGATGGCAAAGTCTTCGCGGAGCGTGATGCGCGACTGGTTGGTGGAGAGGGCGGGCGAGGAGAGGGGGTTGATGGTGGCAGAGACGTAGCCGTAGTGCTGCCAGGCGAGGAGGGGGTTGCCGATGAGGGCTACCGCGACGGGGATCTTGATGAAGAGGGTGTGCGTGTTGGGGAGCTTGGTGCAGTAGGTTCGGCGGGGTGGATCCGGGTCGGGAGGTGCGTAGGACATTGTGGATGGTGCTGTGGAGTGAGTGGGTGGGTTTCAGTGTAGGGAGATGAGCATTGATGATGAGGCGGTATGAGGATAGTGAAAATGTTTTTTGTGGGGTCGATGAGGTGCCAATGAATAGTTATTTTTGGTATCATGATGGTGGAATAACGTAAGAGGTAGGCACAATAACGACGAGTGATATTCTGTGAAGGAGGCGACGTTTGAAGGTAAGTGCAGAACTCCAACTACACTAACTCAAATAGCGAGACTTGATTGGACTAGACTTGCACATAGCCAAGTAGCGTTCTGAATGACACCGCTCAGAGCGAGACTAAGGCCCAGCCTTGTCTCGCCTTGTGAGATGAGGATATGAACCAGTCTCGACTTGTCTCGCCCGTCGCGGGGTACGGTCTGCATGTAATCAATGAGTTAAACAAAAAAAAAAAAAATTGCCCGTCGCGGGATGGTTGAGAAAATCGAGTGAGTAGTTGTGAGCCAAGACCCCGCCGGGGAACTTTGCACAATAATGTCTTTATGTCCCCCCCTTGATACCCTTATTTAGATCTTCTCTATCTTCTGATACAGCTGCTCAAATTCTACCGATAGATTCTAGCAAACAGTTGAAGTTCAGGTTCCGCCCGGAATCGGCCCGCATGGTGGGGGGGGAAGGACTAGACCAATTTGTCACTAAAACCTATGACACTAGTCTATCTTGGCAACCCCAAGCCTCCAAAAATATTCGGTGTCGAGCTGCTAGCTCGGGACAAGAGTCTCGCGAGACAATCCAATTCCTCATGGAGAGTGCCACTCGCATATATGTATGCCGGAGATAAAAAACGCATCAATCGTCTTGGGCCACCTTGCAACGACTTTGGCGACGCATATTGAGAGGCGCTGGGTATATCTTGGCGCCTGGCGGGGGGGCTGGTGAAGGTACCCGCGGGACAGAACGAAGGGATGCGAGTATCCGCGGATCGCAGAGAGGAGGTGGGGGAGGCAGGCAGGGCAGAGGATGATGCATGAGGTGCAGTTGTTGCTTGGGCTCAATCGGGCGCTGTTGTTACCGACTACTGCAGGCCTAGGACCCGGGGGCCAGGTAATGGGCGCGGGTATCATGTACTACTACTGATCGCGGGGTGGGGCTGGCTGGCTGGCTGGCGGGGTTACCGGGGTTGCAACTACTGCAGCAGCACGGGTATGTATCACAACGCATCACTCGCCCACACCCACACACACACCCACACAGTGTACCTACTCGCAACCTTCCGCCGTTCCCGGACCGGACTGGGGCCGCATGCCACCAAAATGTTGTTCTCACGCACGATCTACGCCCATATGCAGACCCAGTCCAGCCCGGAGGCGCGGGTATGTACGTAGGTACTCCACCACCACCACCCACCCACTCACTCGGTCGATGTATGTATGTATATACATACCTCACGCGCTGGACCGGGAACCCTGTTGACAGACGCAGAAACCTGTCGCATGGCAGAGCTCTACACAAAATGCCTTGAACGGAATGATTGAACAGCAATCACCACAGGAGGAAAAAACGGAGTTTAGTTTAAAACTTTATGAATATTTTTTATTCCTCAATGTGAGTATGTACCATCTCAAGGACAAAAAACCCTGAATCAAGTATCTCAAAAACTGGTGGAGATACAGCGTATCATGGCGCTGGTCTCCCCATACCCCATACATACATACATACATACAAACACCTGTATGGGAGGGAGGGGGCTTTCCGACTTGCCTGTAGCTTCTTCAAGAGCCCCCAAGCAAGTCCGCGCCTTTAGACATGAAGGAAAAATCCTTCTTCCTCTTGGTAGGCAATTCCACCCTGCCTGCGTGGGTAGTAGTACATGTAGTATCCAGATTAATATGGCTTGGGGGGGGCTTTACCACTGGCACTGGCTCTTTTGCTAGTTGCGCCAGGGCCTTTTCCGCGTCTGTCAATAACAGGGCTCCCGGTCGGTCCAACGCGCTACATGGATGCTTTCCCTTTCCGTTTTCCAACTCGCCGTATCACTCACTCACTCACTCGGCCGGCCGGCTACGCGCCCAGTCAGTCTACTCGATACGGAGGACACCACAGCACAGACTCTCACTCGCCCGCGGACACCGCTACAGCCAGACCATGCATGCAATTGGGGTATTAACTACAATTTAGAACCATCACGTATCCCCCCCGCCCCCCCCCCCCCCACCTGGCTACCTACATCCATCCCCGCCCCCCCACCCCACGCATAGACAGTACAAAAGAAACGATAATGTCACCGCACTAGGTAGTTAGTTAGTTAGTTAATAGTTATAGTTAGTTAGTTAGCTAGTTAGTTAGTCAGTTGGCAAGTATAAACAAACAAACAAGCAGATAATCAACCCAGGATATAATAAAAGTAAAATAAAAAAAGTATATATAAAAAAACAAAAAAAAACAAGCCAACCCCCCCCCCCAGCGCAGCCCAGCCAAACAGACCGCAAGAACAAAAGGGCATGAAACGGAACCGGAAAAGCGAGTCCCCCCCCCCCCCCCCCCCGCCTCCTGGTAGAACGCACAAGAACAAGAACGGGGGCAAAAGTGTAAGTATAGATAAGACGGAGCGGTATAAAAAAAAAAAAAAAAAAAAAAAAAAAAGAAGAGAGAGAAGAAGAAGAGTCCAATAACCGATCGATACCTACCTACCAAACCAGCCCATCCCATTCCATGGCAATCCAATCCAATCCAATGAAACTAAAGAACACGCAAAAAAAAGGAAACAAGCCCCCCTTCAACCCAATAAAAGAATATATAGACTAAAAAGAACCCCCCCCCCGCCCTATGCCACCGCGGCAATGCATGTATGCAGTACTAACAAAGAAACAAAAATAAACAAAAACAGCAACAAAACCCACAACGCAAAACACAAACCGCAAA